TAAATGGACATAGAATTAAACTAATTCAACGACTATTACAAAGATTCCATGCTAATTGAATAATATCAGCTAACCTTCAATCGGATCTTCGATCGGAGGGGCAAAATTACTTGCTGGTGTAGATGTTACTGCTCCTGTTTTAGCCATTTTATTCAAACCTGCCAGTGTTTCCTCGTCATTACGATCAGGAAGAGAAGGTTTAATTCCTGGAATATCAAAGAATAAAGAATTTACAATCATCCTAAAAATACGCGCGTAATTCAGTTAAAAATAAAGCTATGTGATATTTCTTTTGGCACTTCAAAAAGCTCTAGTGTAGGTGCCATTAAGATGGAAACTGAAATGTCATAACTAACCTTCATACTTCCGTTTTTGCTCTATTGATGTTTCGTCATCATGTTCAAGTGACGTAGTTTTAGCTTTTCCAAAAAAAGATGAACGACGAAAATGAGTAGTTATCGCAGGCTGCAAAGCCGTATTTGAAATTTTTTAGTGTTTTGAAGTCCGTAAGAAAATTGGATTTGATCCTTCCGATTCCCGTTGAAAAAATTAAAGCATGTCATTACTATGAGATTTAAGCAGTAACAGCAGATCTTGCTGAAGTTCTTATATTGCCGAAATAGAAAGCATAAACAAATTAACGTAATTTTGTGCTAAGCTATATGCAAAAATTTATATTTCTTTTCATTAAAACTATTAAATGTTTTACCTTCCTGAATGCTGACTGAGATCTATAGATGTCGTCATCGTGAATGTCCGCATTCTTTTGACAGTCCAAATCCCGCTCCATACTTAATCTAAAGATTACATTGTACAAAAAAAAAAAAATCAATTCATATATTCCATGAAAATGATGACAAAATATAAACCTTTTTTTCAAAACATCGGAAGATGGTATGACATTCTCATCACTGTAAACAGCAAATGGTGCAGTTTGCTTTATTGGTTGGGCCTCTTCCACATAAACCTATATACAGAAACAATTAAAAAAGTCAGTTTTTGTGCCCTTTGGAAAGAAATTGAATGCTTCGAAAAATACTTTAGAAATTACTTCAAACTTTGTTTTCTTTGAAGCAGGAGGAAGATGAGTCTGTTCACTTTCGTTGAGAGTTGCTTCTTGTAATACGGTCGTTTCATCTGTTTCGTGATGTACTACAATGAAGTTAAATCGATAAATTTCTGTACACCGAGCTTACTTTAAAATTGGTATTACAGTATAAAACTCCTCAATATTTATCAGATCTTATTATTTACCGTTCATTCAATAAACAGCATCGTACCTGAACGCGGAGGTGGAACTGGCACTGTGCTTGAGAAATCGCGCATCGCCTTACTCAAAAATTTCTCGGTAAACGAAGTGCCATGGAGCGTGAGGTGCGAGGATTGTGGACATTCTGTAAGCATTTTCTTAAAACACCAAGAAACACAAAATTGCTGAATTTCTGATTGAAAACACTTACCAGATGGTTTGTCGACAAGAACGTCTGTATCTATGTCATTGTCATTTTCAGCAGCAACAGTACACGTTAACAGAAATGGGTTATCACCGGCTGAAGGTTGTGCTGACTTCGTGAGTTCTACATTGTGGGATGGATTCATCAAGGAACCACTGGCACAACCGCTTCGTTCCTCGCTTATGGCCGATAATTTTGAAATTGACATTCTGCTAGAGCGCCTAATGATGACGACAAGTATTAATAAATCGACAGTCAAAATCTTTTAAACATATCAAAACAGTTTATGACCTTACTGCTTATAGTAATGAAGATTAAATTATTTTTGTGTATTAAAGTTTCTTTACTATTTCAAAATAAAAATAATGGATACTACAAAAATTGTTCCTCCAAATTATTAACCTCTGCAGTATATCTGGATGAATAGCATAATTCCCTGCTTCTGCGAACATTTCTTCAATTGATTGTTGCTCATCTGCTATTTTTAAATGGGTTTTTACTGCGGAATCATGGGTTAATTTTGTTGAACGCTGACTACTTTCAGGTGCTTTTTGTTCCATGCTATAATTCAGAATATAAACTAATTTTTTTTTTTGCATTCATATACCAAAAAGACAAAAAACTTACAATGCTGTCTCAATAGTCCCCAAAGTTCTCAAATCTTTCGACAGATCTAAAAAATGCATCATTAAAATCAACTTCATTAGGAAACAAAAACAGCAAATAATTTCACTCAGCTAACTGTTAAAAAATACCAGGTTTTCTGAAGAGATTTACAGTCATTTCATCATCCATTTCAAAATACTGATAGAGCATAGCCCTGAAATTTTAGTACAGTCACATAACTGAGACATTGTAGATGTCCATGAAGCCTTAAAAATAAACATTCCAATCAAATCTTTCAGAAAAATAACTTACAGAAAAATAAAATAAATAAGTAATAATTACAATTTCATGAGTGGAAAAATTAAATAAGATAGGAAAATTATGACAACTAACGATTACCTTGTTAGACGCACAATAAATTACAATATACTATTCATTTTTTATAAAATACTGCATAACAAATCTTAAGTTATAAAATAATGTTTTTACCTAAAAGCTTCATCAACTCTTGAAATAGGTTTAGCATTTGCTTTTATGGCTTCATTCCATACTTCGTTAAAACGTTCCCTGTTCTTTTCTTCTGCAAAAATCTGAAATGAATGTCAATTGCAAGCTTTAATTAAGTAAGATCCTGTTTAGCACTGCTGCAAAAAGCCAATTCTTTACCTCGCCCCATTTGACGTAAAACTCTGCCAGTTCATGAAACTGTTTTCGATTGTGTAACTCTTCCATCACTAACTTCATCCCCATTGTACGACTTAATTTCCCCTAAATTAAATCTTATAAAAGACATATTATTTGATTATTTGAAGAAAATCCTTAGCAAAAATGAAATCGCATTTTAGCAAATAACTGCAAACATTTAATTTGGGAGATATAATTTGATAATAACGTAGTATCAAAGAGACAACAGCAAAAAGCTTTTGTATATTAATTAAATTGCTGTTGATTACTTTACTCAACAACCTTATCTTCCAAGTGACAGATCATTTTTTGAAGCTAAATAGTAAACTAATTGCAGTGCGGAAAATCATTAAAGCGTATTATAAGTTTCAAAATTTAACAATTATTGCTTTTCAAGACTAAAAATTTACTTACAACAATACAGAAAACGTGTAACAATCGTTCATCGTTATAAAACGGACTACTTTCCACAGAATACCGCAATACGGTCTCCATGGCAGCTTTTCGTAGACGATGATGACTTTCTTTATCTTCGAAATTTGTTTCCATCCATTTCAACTGACTGAAACTTGAAGAAATGCAAAAACTACCTAATGGCGTAGTTCCAACTCACCACAGTACTGATGTCATGACTTTACGTAGAAAGTGTAACTATACTTCAGCTATACAAAATTGAAGACTAGCTGTTTAATATGCAACATACTTCAAAACGTAATCCAACTGTTTCGTTTCTGGCAACGTCCTGAAATAACATCAACCATATGATCGTTTGTAATTTGATAGATTTTAGTTTCTCAAATCCAAATTTTTGTTGAAGACGACATAATTAGTATATTCGGTTCCATAAGAAACTATTAATCTATGTTTCGCGCATTTGCAAATTTGCAATTAAAAATGTGTTTGTGCTTAATTAAAAAACAAAAAATCATTCAAGAAATGAAAAAAAAAAAAAAAAAAAAAAAATTCGTTGTCTGAAATTTAAGATAAAAACCAATTGAAAATTGCTTAACAGAAGACTGAAAGCCAGTTATTTACTGAAGAATTAGTTGGAAATGATAAAACATGTGAAGCACTAAAAAGGTTAGAAATAACTTACTTAACGAAAGATGGTAATGATTCAAAAAATCCCACCACCATCGATTTTGACGAATTCTCAAATCTTTTCTTCCTTCAACGATCAACCAATCCAAATTAATGAAAAAGAAAGTGATCGAATATTAGCAAGAAAAAGTAATAGAAATAAATGGAGTAAGCTTTAACAATTCACCCTTGTCAAGTGTAACAAATCAAATTAAATAAACATCCAAACAAAAATATTGGCGCTTAAATTTCAAAAAAGACTCGCTCGTTCATGTATGGACCGATATGCAAATTAGGATAACATGTGGCCAAAGGTATGGATGAAAGCAAAAGTGCTACGTTGTGCTTATCAGGGAGAGAGAGAGAGAGAGAGAGAGAGAGGGAGAGAGCTGCTGAGATTGTTTGGATCGTTTTGTCTAGAACGGTAGAAGCTTACGTTACTGTTGGCTGACAATTCGGTTACTGATTGCCTAGCCGGAATAGCATTTATTTCCGGAAATAAGTTCCTTCTTTTTTCTTAAATTAGAGTATGAAATTTGCATAACATAGACGATATTTAGTAGGACAATGGCAATGTGACAGCAGTATGTGTTACAGTAACGCTAGTAGATGAACAAATTCATCAAAGGTACTGTCTGAGAAAGGATATTGAGAGTACAGTAACAGCAGCAAAATGAACGGAGGTGATGTCAGCTGGAAGAGAGACGATTTTAGGAAGATTGGTGGATGCTGGCAAAGCAGTAGAGATAAACTGAGATGCTTTACTTATTTGGATTTTCCGGGCCAAATCAAATGATGGGTGTTGGGATTTTTTGAATTTTAGATTTGTTGAAAAGTGCACTTTGATCTATTAACATTGATTACTGCAGTATCATATGGAATATTGTGATTCTTGAATGCTTGACAAATTGATACGTATCATCAATATGTTCATAATGCTAAAATGTCACTTGTAGAATGTAATAAGTGCGGAAATATCAAGATTAGGAAGTATAATTCGAACATTTAAAGCGCTAAGTTAACATTAGTGCACTGAATAGAACATTCCGACAGGTGAAGAGTCTTTGTAGATGAAAGGAGAAATGATTCCACTGGAGAAATTTGTTGTTGAACAAAGAAAGTTAACGATTCATATCGATCACAAATGGAGAAGAAATTGACATTTTTAATATGAATTTAAAGGTGAACAGCACTTGAACAATCACACTTTTCAGTTAAGTTTGTATCGATAAGAATAAGTCGATCGTCTAATGGTACATCTCGAATCTTAAAGCATCCACCTATAGCTCGTAGATTTGCATCATTGTAATGACAGTGTTCGCTGAACCCATAAGACGATAGATTTGTTGGACATCTGAAAACACTTCCCTTTCGCATTTCTCGATAATCTAATTAGTTGAAGATTAATTTAATCATTTTGTATTTCAAGGATAGAGCATGAAAATAAGTACTGATGCTTAATGATGTGCATCAAACGTTAGAGAAAATTGGTAAAATCAAAATATTGTTGATTCGATCAGTGCTATTTGCACACCCATGAGTAAAATAAATAAAGTTTAATAGTACTAATTACTCATTCTTCAACCATTATTCAACGATATCTTTACTAACAGGTAAGTATTGCATGGGGCACTATCAACTTGATCAACCAAATTCGAGGGACATTCTGGTTTTCCACCATTTCGAGCTTGTATAATGGAACTTTTGTTCACTTTACGAAAACGTTGTGGATAATCCTGTCCGGAAACTCGACATGTAGATGAGCAATCAGACCATTCAAGATAAGTAAAAAAACATGGAAATTTCATTATTCCCGTTGCACTCCTTATCTATAATATTTTTCTTAAAATTAAATTTAATGAAAATTCAAGCAAGTCACCAATTTTTAATTAAATACAGCTCCAAAAGGAAGTGCATATTTCATACCCAATTTTACATGATATTGAAGCTAAGAATAATGAAAACTGATAACAAAATTCTCCAATTAATGACTGCTCTTTCAATTTTTTACGAAGCATAAAATATGCAATACAATCTTGGAAAGAGTTAGTTTCTTTGGAGTAGAGAGTTTAACCTCAAAAGTCAATAATATATAAGGCATTTCTGCAATAGAACTGCACAGATGATAAAATATTTCTTTTTTTTTAAAAAGAAAAAAAGATATGTCTTAACAAAGGTATTTAAGAAAAAAAATAGTTATCAAACAAAATTATCAAAAAATTGCAAACAAAGTTATAAACAAATGCATGTGTTATTTACATAAGTGTTTTGATATACAAATAAGCACACTTACGTGAGCGCTTAGAATGATGCTCCAGATTATAAGCGTGATAAGTACAAGTAATAAAAGCATGTTAATAACTGCTAAGATGAAATTAACAATTAGCATTAAACGAACTTTCTTATTGCGAATGAATGGTGAGATTTGCTGCAAATATTATTTATAGTACAAATGATATACTGAGGATATGTTCTGAAAAGTCTAAATTTTACTGAATCTTGATGAATTGTTAAAATAACAAACATAAATTATGGTTGCAAGACGAGTGGATTTGATTGATTTGCTTATCGTTCCATCGAATTCGCTGATATCTGAGAGCTATAACAAAAAAAAAAAAAAAAAAAACAGGAAAATTTAATGTTTACTGACTTCTTCTAAACGTAATAATCCTTCTTTGAATTCTGGATTTGATAAAATTCTCACATACCTCTTCCGTAGCTTCTCCAGCAGATACTTTGAACATGCCTGGTGCTTGTTCACTTAACTGTTCAACATCGGTAGTTGATGGTATCGGGCTTTTCTCATTTTGCGGTAATTCTTCCTAAATTTGCTTTAGTTCCAGAATCCTAAATTTCTGTGCACTCACTACTATAATTTATCTCAATCATCTGAGAAATAATCAGCATACTAATCAATAATCAACCGAATATCTCGGGATTAATTCTTCTTGCATTATATCTAACAGATAGTACTGTATAAAAGTTAGCAATATTTCATTTAATTAAATAATATGTTGAAGGGAGAAATTAAAAGTTACCTCCGTGGGTGAATCAATTTTTGCTTTGGGAAGTGATTCAGCGGGTTGATCCGAACCTGTAGCTCCTGTATGTGAAGGTGAACTGGAAGGTACTGATACCATTTTATCTCACTCTAAATCGGACAACTTAGACATATTAATTTGATTATTTAAAAGATTATTTAAAAGCAAAAAATTAGTGAAATCAATATACTGTTAAAACGAATATATTTGAGTGAAAACTATAGTCATTTTCCAGAGGAACAAGTTCTATATATTAAATCCAAAACATAAATCAAAAGTACTTCCTCAATATGAGTCAATTGAACAGGAGATTGAGGTAGAGTACAACTGATTGTTGTTTTCATTTTGTAAGCATTTATATAGCAAATTATGCATGCTGCATGCATAACATATATGCAGGGCGACATGCATGCTTTGGAATGCTTGAAAGCAATGAAATCGTATGTTGAAAGCAATGAAATCATTCCTAACTAATGTAAATTTACTCTGATAATCTATTTTTCATTAAGCATCATCCTTATCCTAAAAACTTCGGAAATTGTGTAAAATTTTCAAGCATCTACTGAGAATTATGGGGAAAAAAAAAAAATTCAGATAACAATTTTATGTATATCGAAAGCATTCCAATATGTATGTTGAAAGGGAATTAGCTATAAAAATGAAATTTCTGCTTCAATTTCTTTCTTTTTTTTTCCATCCATTTTTCCTTCTTCTATATAAACTATTCTGCTAAATTTCAACTTGGATTGATAATAAAATTGTTTAACAAATTTTTGTTAATTTCAAATAACTCTTCTCTGCTCTTTACTACAATTGATTTATTGAGAAATTTACCAATGAAATGAGGGATATATTATAGTCTTTCTATTTTGCTGACTAAGCATTATTAGCCATCAATCAACAAAATACAATTTGCTTGATGAATTAAAATAAGGAAGTTTCAATGCGATCACATTCTGCTTTCGAACAATTCTGCGTTAAATTAGCATCCATAAAAATTAAGCGATCATCCAATGGTATATTACGAATACGATAACATCCACCAGAGGATTCTTTCAATGAATCCTTGTAGTAACATTGAGTGAATGGATATTGTGATAGATTTGTGGGACATCTGCAAGTATTGCTCTCTCTCTCTCTCTCTCTCTCTTTCTTTCAGTTTGTTGATTTCAGGAAAACACAAAACAGAGTCTGATCAATTTGAAATAAATTGATGACCTGAAAGTGTTGCAAGGTGCAACATCCACTCGACTATGCAAATCATCAGGACAGTCTGGCTTCTCACCTCCACGTGCTTGTACGATCGAATTTTTATTCACATAACGTTGCATTTGAGGATAATTTGATGAACCATCCCAACAACTTGCAGAACACGTTGACCACGGCTCGTACGTAAAAATACATGGTGATGGCTGATCATACATAATGCTTGAAATCTAAAGCATATTTACTTGTATGACTGACTTTATAGTAATATTTATGTATAACCATGTTAAAAAAAAAAAAAAGAGTTGGGATTTTGTTGTAATAAAAATTACATTAGAAAAAGAAAAAGAAAACATTGTACATTGTAATTGTATTCAAAATGAAATAAAATGAATAATGTTATTAGTTTGTTGTTAAAAAAGAAAAATGATGAAGAAGACATTATCTTCTATTTTTAGTGTAAATTTTTCTAGTAGATGACGTGATACTGTACTTCTATTTACTGCAAATCTTTAAACATATGAAATGACAAATCTACTTTCCACTTTTTTTCATAATTTTTGATTACTAAATCAATGTAAAATGTTTTATCTACTCTTACTTCTTTGTTAATTGTGAAAACAGTATTATCATTACTAATTATTAGATCGAGAAGCATTAAAGTAAGACTTATCTAGCAAAGAAATATTAAAGATTCTGATAAACAGGTATTGGCTACGAATAAATTACCCGAAAAGCAAGGATGATTTGATTTAGTAGAAGTGCAAGCATAAACAAAAGCATTACGAAGTTGATAAGAAGCAGTATAGTGTTGATAATTGTCAAATAACGCACTTTCTTATTTCTCATCAACGGATAAACACGCTGAAGTGTACATTATGATTGTTGCAAATCTCATTATACATTATTATTATTGATAAAATATACCATAATCATGATTCAGATGATTTAATTTTACTCAGTTGATAAACGAATAGTTTCATTTCACTTTAAAATACTTCCAAACTGACATCATTTCTGTATTGTAGTTGATTGCATCAGATTTGACAGTTGTAATAATTTCCACCAAAAAACTTACTCTAAACCAGATGAAAAAGCGACTACTACTACCGTCGCGAGATTTTGCTGCAGATGATCTTGTTGAATATATATCCGGATCGGTCACATCAGACAACTAAAAATAATTTTGAAATTGACTAGTTCAATGTACAAAACCGCAATATACAATATACATTAAATTCAGCGCACTGAAAATAGAAGATAAAAATAAATTTTGCGAAATTTAATTAAAAGACTAAAGAATAGAAAAATGAAAGGAATAAGAATAGACTTGAGAATAATATGGAAAAAAAACCTGTTCGGTATCTTCTCCAACCAGAAATTCCATCTGCTCCGGAATACTTCCGCTAGGTTGATCCACTTCCGTACTATCCGGTATCGGACTTAGTTCTTCAGATGACTGTCTCTATAAACCATAACATCAGAAGAGTGAAAAATATCATAAATAAATATATAATTTGAGACATTGATACTTCTACTCATGTTTATTATTTAGATTTTGAAGGGTTTCTAATAAGATACCCAACTGATAAGTAAGTTATCACTATCCAAATAGCTACATATATGAAATTTAGACAAAGAAAGCGACATTTAAAGAGAAATAATAGAATATATAAGTACTGCGGTTGAGCCTGAGTCCTTTGCTTCATAGCTGAATGATTTCGTAAAGTTTCCTGATGTAGCTTTAGAATTCATTTTAAAATGATTAATATATCGAACTGAAAAACAAATTTGATGTTATCAGATTTTATGGTGCGATTTTTAAAAAAAATTTCTTAGAAAATACTGGAGAAATCTTCATTATAGACACAGTTATCACAACAAGTAATTCATTAAAACTCACTTTTTCAAGGTTCAGCCGACTACTGCGAATGTTTCCACTTTGAATGAATACCTACTTAGACGAATGCTTATAAGAAATTTTTAACAGTACACAAAACAATCTACAATAGTTGCATACTACAGTGCTGTTTCCGGAAATCTTATGATCAGTCTTCCTTGCTAATTCCACCATATCACTGATTTCAAATGAATTAGACAGGATTTTACGATAATTCAACATTTTATCAGTCCAAAATGTTGAACATCATTCAGCGTAACGGAAAATTTTCCATGCAATTTCGAATTTCTAATTGATAGTAACTAACACAGCACAGCACATCTTTTAAATGCATCAAAATATCGTCATATCATATTACAAATCACATTTATGAATTTATTTTATCATAACTAATATAAGTACAGGAAAACAAATATAAATGTTGCTGACAAAACAAAAAATACGAAACACATTCAAAATGTCATGGTCAATGTAATGATAGAATTAATGAACGATGCAAAATTGAACAACAGCATGAGATCACAAAGTTATAGATATATGTTGCCCTCAGATAATTTACATGTATTGCACGTTTGAAATTTCAATTTCTTCAGTGCACCATAATCGCTCAAACGGTAAAATTCCGTGTAGATAGAGCATATACTTTGCATAATACATAATAGTAAACAGAAAAGCTTAAACAATAACAACAAAGGCGAGTTACGAATCAAAATTTCAAAAAAAACATTAAAGGCTGATACGACGTGTTATGTAATCCTAAACCTGACAAAATCAAATTTTTTACATGGAACATAACAACGAATCCTGACAATGAAGAGGTACAATTATTCTAAAGCAAAAATATTAATTTACGCAACAAAGTTGTTGTGTTTCTCATGGAAATATGTAACACAATCTTCCAGGAGCTTGTCGCCTAACACGTATTTTAAGGCCATCTTTTTAGCTATCATTTGCAAAAGACCACCAATCAAACGTTTTTCAAGTGGAAAATTGATGTCCAAAAGCTTCCTGAAATTACTTTGTAAATTATAAAACATAGCGAAAGCAATGTAAAAAGTGAATGATTAAAGAAGGAACTAACATTATGTAGTTATGCAGTAATGTCTTCGCTTTTTCTGGAATTGAAATTAATAGCTTCTCGACAGTATCAAATTTTAAAGTATCAATGTTGGTCACATCACCCGCAACAACTGATTTCTAAATAAACTTATAGCAATGAGTTCGTAGCTAAGGGATTTTTTTGAATGCAAAAGATACTTTACTAAGGATATACAATTCAGCTTTAAAACAGAAATTAGCCGTTCATATTGATTCGTATATATTGAAAGCTTGATTGCCTCACCTAAAAGAACGTTACAAAGAAATTTATAACCATCTATCAAATTTAATTTCTACTTCCCCAGTATGAACAAGGTTAACTGAAACTTGCTTATTATTAAATCCAACTTTTTTATTAAACTGTCAACTACCATCAATATGTAAGTGATAACAGTTGACATTGCTTGTAATATAATATAAAAATAATACAGTACATATATGTGGATGTGGTATACAAAAGCATCATGAGCTCAAACTCGAAATGAATTTAAAAAACAAAGTTATAAATAGAAATCTTATTATTACCTCCATTTTTACACTTGATATGCGCGATGGTTTCTTTCGAGACCTGTTCTTTTCATCTTCTGGAAATAAACTAATTATTAGCAAACCATTAACCATCAGAGAAAAAAGAATGCTTTAATATGATTCTGTCATCTCTAGAAATGTAGTTCAGTGGTCCAGAACAGTTTCATAATTCATTTATAATAATTCTAGAATGGAAACTACAACCATTTCCACAAGCTTTGTAATTTCAGGATCTTCACAAATTGCAACTTTGATATTTCTACAATCTAGAAGGAAACTAGTGGGGTTGAAAATTTAATATCATTGCCAATAAACTTGACACATACTGTTTCCCAAATTTAAATGATGCGGCATAGCGATACGATTCAGATCATGCAAAAAAAGAAAAAAATTGAATTCCCTACCATTTAACAAATTCAATGCAACTGAAAATGTGGGAAAGTCGACCGTCAGAGCAGTAAATGCATCACGGCATCGTTTGTGATATATCTACAAGAGAATAAAGAATGAGCAATCTATCGTCCTTTTTTAGTTTTGGAAAGAAAAAACACTTGCAATGACTGCCTAATAATAATAATCTAAAACAGCTGCTACTGATACAAATCATATTATGTTCGTACCTCCTCATACCATAATTATATATATCGCAGTTAAATCTGATCATTAGGTTTTGACCATACCTCTAATATGCCTTCATTTGGTCCATCATGAATTTTCAGTGTTTCCGCAACGGAGAGTCCATCCAGAAGAACATGTTCTAAGCAAATTTGCATATTCTACAAAACAATAAATGTTCTAGCTCATCTTCTCCAAATGACTACCACGTCATTTATGTACGAAGATACTGGTGAACCTACAGCCTGTACTGTAAACATACCGTTTGTGCTGTTTCCGAACGACGATACTGGTGACTAATAAGATATGAAATTACACTTTTAACAAGTTGTTCTTCGTTTTCAACTCCATTTTCCATATGAAGCGCCAGTACATCGATCTTCCCAATAAACACTCCCCGGGGCATAACACTAACTGATTTACGCTTTTTCTGAAACGCTATATACAAATTGAAGAGTAAACAAGCAGACTCGAAATATAGTGCAAATCTTTTATTCAACATGGAAAGTGTGACAATCAACAAATTCATATGAATTTGAGTTATTATTAAAGAGAGTTATCTTAAAACACGGAAGTGAAAACACATTTATTAACCTTCGCAGAGAAAACTCCATCTGATTCAGATGACTTTATAAGCTTAGTACTCTTAACATCATTGCGCTCCCCATCACTGCACAGCCTTCTTTTTCCACGACGGGGCAAAGCAACCACTGTGTCTTTAGTCTTCTTCATCTTAAAAACAATCATATGAAATAATAATGTGCAAACTATTTTCAAATGAAAAATGTATTACAATTAAATCAGTTGATAAATTTACTACTGGGAAAAGATTAGAACGTATATTCCAACCCCACATTTATTGAATGTCAATAAGTATTTCATACTACTTCATCATGATAATGACTCCTGGATAATGCACAGAAAGTTCATGGAATATATGGCATATTGGCTATTTACAGATTGCTAATGTCAATTTCGCTGAAAACAAGAAACTGAAAGGAGATGAGGCTAAATATACTTGTTTAAATACACCCATTTATCATTCAGACAATATGTACACCCGAAAAAATTTCTGAAAGTCGATATCTTGTTTTCAATGGAACTGAATGCATTCAATATGGGCATTTCATTATGAATATAACATAAAGTTGGTAAGAAAATATTACCATATTTTCTAGCCATAAAAATCCCTTAAGTAAGCGAATGTATGAATTGATAATAGTTACAGGAAGTTCTGTTATCGTTTTATACATTCCTGACGAGTTTTGTTCTGTGAAAATTTTTACAATTGCTTCACGAATTTTCTTGGTATCACCACTATAGTTGAATTCTCGCAACAGCTAAACAAAAAAGCTGTGAAATGAATCAATAAAAACAGATATACCAGACTTATTAGCTTAGTTTCAATGGAGTCAGTAAGACCGATATAATAAAGAGAGAGATGGTTAAAGCGTCACTTATTATTACTAAAATGTCACAAATCATATTTCGTCTTAATATGCTATAGCAAACTTATTTTTCGCCACCTACGACAGTAAATATGAGTGAATATTAGTGCAAAAAAGCCATCCCGAAATAAATAAGACCTTAATTCATCAAACAACTATAAAATAGAAATGATCAAGAATTTAGCAACATTCAAAACATAAACAAGCGTAGAAAACGACACCTTATAAAATGACAGCACCAGCAATGATTATTTTATAACACAGTAAAGGGTACCGTGGACTAAAATGAGAATGTCAACAGTTCCGAAAAAACTTCGAACCTTATCAATCTTTGATTCCAGTTCCAAGGTAGGTCCCAAAACATCTTTAGCTTCAACACAACCAAATTCCTTATTAATTAACATTCTGGCTATTTCATGATCACTATCAGTTACTGAAAAAAGAAAAGCCTAAAAATTCCACAAATAAAGTCTTCATTTACAAATGATATTTTTTAACTCTATATCATTAATAACCCAGAAAAAAAGTAACATGGTGCAAAAAATTTTAAAAAACCAGAAAACAGATCTTCTTTACGATAATATCTTCATAAATTAACCTTTTTCTATAAGACTCTTCCTTTTATTTTCATTCGTTCCATCTCTGTAAGCCTTCTGTTGTTTGGATTTTCGAACCTTAGGTAAATTCAGAGCAGCACGCACAACGCAGGCGTGCTTCATAACTGTTCGTGGTGTCAAATTGGTAGCTCTCGCTGCATCAACTCCTGTGTATCCCTCGTGTAACACCCTAAAAATAGCTATTGATGTATAATTGAGAACTATTCATTTCTGTTTCTGATGAATCATAAATTCGAATTTTGGAAATAGAAATGAAACTTACATGCCTACAGCTTTACGTATAGCATCCGCTTTCGTTGAGTGTCTAACAGAAGTTCCACAATAGTCATAGATACATTTGTCGATACGATTCTTATCAATCGTCGAAATATCGCGTGTAAAATCCTTTCGTGCTCTCCTAACTCGTACTTTCTTTCGATCTTTCGTCTGATTACCCCCAATTTCATTACTCTCATCATCTGTAAAATATTTTATTAATTCGAGTTTTTATATAATCCTGAAAATCATAAACTAAAATAGTTTTTGATTACAAATAGTTTAAAAATAGTTTGAATTCGTTCATATTAGTTTTTATTGGTTGTTTAGCGTTTTCAGATGTTACGGTAGCTAAGCAAACGGCACAGCAGAAAGACCTACGATGTCCATGTCAAAGTTTCATAAACCGCCAACCTATAGACGAAAAAGAATTAGAAACTAAAAGCAAAGTGACACACTGCTTGTTTGGTTAGACACCTCTGTCCCTTCATTTTTCACTTCTATTTCAACTCCATTCTTTTCTGCTGCCAAAATCATGTTTCGTTTATGTTGTTTGACTAAATTGGCTCTATTCAGCAACTTTTCAACCATATTGTAATAGGTTCGAAAATATGAAACAGCGAGCTTGTAACACTGACAAGCCTCCTGAAAAGTTATAATGTGTGTACGACAATCAAACAACCATTCATATTTAAATATATACATAAAATCGAGGTATACTGGACCACTGCCAACTGCACTAATCAGAACTGCAAGCTAAATGAATAGAAGTCAACAAAAAAAATTACTTGCTCAGACATCGTCTTGCAATGAACATCTGTAACTGCATTCTTCAGTCGTTCCTTTGTTTCACTACTTACTCTGCTATAACCCACAACGATATCTATTGCGCGACGAAGTTTTTCATCAACATGACCTATAAATTATTGAACTCTTAAAAAAGCAGTTAACTGCATCATTAATTAAATGATTTATTTTGCATTATGCACAATTTACTGATGTAAATTCGATCAATTGTATATCAGTAGTTAATGACCACAGCATTTCAATAATAATACTGGAACGAACCGTCTGTCACGGATGATGTCTTGTTATTTCTTCCAACACTGCCCATTCGATCCACAGGATTCATAATATTTCCATTTTCCGGAATCTTTAAATATTCGATTGTAGACATACACTTGTATTTAAATATATTCTAAACAGATTTAACACGCTTGATTACTTTCCAAAAATTTTTTGAAATCCATGCTGAACAATATCAAAAAAGCATATAAAACAAGCAAATAAAACTTATATTGTACATCCACACTACTTCATGTCATCCTCAAATAGAAACTCTATCAAGATTTCATGACAGATCCGATAATCAAAATCTTTAACTTTTTCTTATGGGAAATTAATTTCAAAATTACTTTGCAAAAATCAAAACTATTTAATAATATTGGTATTTTACATCTATAAACTTAGTCTTGGGACAAAAGAAATCAATATCTTGCCAATACCTTCTGTTCATTCGCAGCATTTTCATAGTAACTACTACTGGCTTTTATTTCATTAGCGGATTTCAAACTCTCGGACCGTTGAAACGTCTCCATCATGTCACTAGTGCTACTCTTAACAAGTACATTCTCCATACTGCAAACAAAACAATTATTTTCAGGAAGCGTCCTATAAAGCATAATTATCAAACCATATTTTAATCATTTTCAAAGTCTTCAGTTATTTAACTATGTTATATCCATGCACCTCCACATTGTACTTTGCAAAGTGTAAAAGTGCACTTATACTCCTACTTTCGAAATTCACTTCATGAAATCCTAAAAATATTCATAGTTCTTATCTCTGTTCATATCTACCACTTTCACTTACATCAAATATTCGTTCGATCCACTCCTAATAAAGTGGTTTAAAACTGCAAACTGTAAACTCTACACCTGCAACAAACCTCTAACAAAAAATGAGCGCATAAAAGCATTATCATATTGTCAAATACATAAACATTTAAACTGCATAAGAATAATACGTTGCTATATTTTAGATCACATAATGAAGGAAAATGTTACGCCGAAAATAAGTGAACGAAAACAATGAAATGGTAAAATCAATATGATCGATTTTTCGAGATAACTCTCTATTCACTTAATTTCATGGACCAAAAAACCGATACATGTGTAACTGCTAAAATTGAATCTTCAATCAGACGAATTCCTATCAATAATTCCCTTCAAATCTGAAATGGTTCCCACCACATATACATTAAATATAATAAAAAATAAGTAATCTCAGTGATTTGCTTCATAGTAAGTATAGATCCGATGGGACATAAGTTAACGCTTAAAACTTTTGAAAAACTTTACACTGAAAATTCAAAAAAGTACAACGGCACATTTCGCACCAAACCTCAATTCTAGTCCTCCTCTCTCTTCTGTCTTGATCGTCCGAACCCCTCACTTCCAACACACTCTTTTGCCTCCAACACATAATAAATTTATAATTTATCGTCATTCACAATGATTCCAGATAATTTGTCTGTACGTGGAGCACGTGTACTTCCACGCATGTATTTTAGCATGTATATGCTCTACCATCATAGATTGATTACTTCCCTCTGTCGAAACATGAACATTTACTGGTTTGAAATTATTTACGTTATCTTTCCATAGTTGAAAAAAGCAGAAATCTATACCTAACGTGAAGGAAGTGTATGTAAGTAGAATTGTTACGTGAAACTGAGTAAACCTTCTCATTCCTGAAACAGTATTATCCGTCCATTGAAGTGGATTTCAGTAATTTGTTAAAGGAATTGATAGTATGATATTCTGCACCTCTCCTCTCCACCACTGCTACCTTCGACAAATGCTGAATTAAAAATCTGAATTGAAAAGAAATTTGATTTTCTGAAGCATGTCCCACCGACTAACGAAAAAGAGTAAAATATTCACTGAATTCATTTTTGATATGTGGGAGAAGGCATTGTGTTGCACTTTGCGGAACTGTGAGACGGAAGGACGGAATGAACCGAGCGTCTCTCATTTATCAGCGGTACGCACTGTGATGACAGCGCTTTCGTGTGCCACTGTTGAACAGTTGCCCAGCTGTACATGCATAGTTTGAGTAGTATGGAGGAAATAATTATTTACTTTTACTTTAGATTACTTTAGATACTAAATGTTGTTTGCTTCTTTGTTCACTTTGCTTGTTTACTAGATGCAAATGAAATGTGTGAAATTTCCCATTTATACTGTTTATTTGTGTGTTTGCTCCACATGTACACCTTATATATAAATGTGTAGCTTAATTTAGTAAATGGAAGTAGAGTTAGTAGAAGAAAAAATCAAATACCATAATAACATTCAAATTAACCGTAATTAAAGTCGTCGGCTGTTATTTGAATATTTGTACTCGTTTTGACATATTTAAAACTCTTCAGCTATAATTTGCTTCCAGAAAATCTCATTGAGCGGTTTCATTTTTCTTTTTTTCTTTTTTTTTTTTTTTTTTTTTTTTAAATTTCTGACACAATTTCTCTATCCTTTTGTATTTAAATATGCCTAAGTTTTTTTTGATATATATATATATATATATTTTTTTGTATTTAAATATGCCTAATAAATATTAACATTCTACTGAACTATTTATTAAATTTAATGATCGTTTTCCTCTGGCTCATAGTTTAAGTTTACCCAGTTATATAGTTCAATATATTGTGCTTGCCTTCATGCGATGTTGGTAAAGGATAACTGAATAATACATCAAATTCCACAGACTGATTCATTCTGGATTTTCGAAAGAGTAATGTAAGATTCTCGTAAGATTCAAATGAAGATTTTAATTTAAAAAAGTGCAAGTATAAGATATTTTTTAGCATGTTTCGATGGCAATGCAAAATAAGCAAAAGCTGATGAAAAAATAAGAAACCAGTAACTGGCACGAGTAAAAGCATTGTTCCTTTTCATTCATGTTCTCGTTTTGCCTTTTTTATGCACATGGCAAGTTTGGCGTGACTTTATTTTTTTGGTTTTCGATATTTGTAGAAGTGAATCAGAAGAACAAACGAAAAATGTCAAATGCCGAGAAGCTTGCAGCTGAATTTGAAAAAGGCGAAACGAATCTTGACAAATTTGGCAAAGGTGCTGGTAAAAGAACAAAGGTTAGAACGAAGCTGAAATTAGCATTTGACACTGTAGTGATATTAACACTTCCTTAAGTTGAAGATCTGATTTGTAATTAATTATTCCCACATACAATTCCATTGAGTTCTCTAAGGATTTATTAAAAGATATTAATTAAAGAATTAAAAATCTATATAGCATCTGAACAAAAATGACTGGAAGTTTTTCTTTAGTATGTGAACCACCAGTACTTCACTACATATACTTTACATAAATTCTTTAACAATTTCCAGGCTGAACAGTATGAACATAAGCACTCGCATCCAGAAGGTGATACCAGGAAAATAGTTAATTATTGTGTTAGCGGTCAGGAAAAAAGAAAGGGAACTACTAGCACAGGTAGCACAGCGAAGAAAGACTAAAACTGCAATCTCTCGATCTCGAGTTGAATAAGGAACATTCCTTGTTGCACATGCATGTTCGAGGCTTTCAAATAGTGTCTCTTAATGTATTTCAAATATTATCATATGTTTCCATGTTTTGATTACTTTTTAATGACCCAGTCTTTTAAAGCATTTTGTAAAATCTTTTTTGTATTACTAAAGACGCAGAATCATTCTGCACTCAATGTTATAGGTCCGCATTGGATTAAGTTTCTTTGTTACGGAATCGTTTTTCAGTGTCAATACACTGAAACATATTCTTTTTACGCCTCATAATAAAGCATACGACACTTCTTAGTGTCGTACGATTTCTTTATATCAACAAATACTTCAACTGACATATTGTATCTCTCATTGTTTCATTTTTGTATGAGCTTGCTAGTTTGTGTGCACGGTAAAATTTCTTACTAAATGAACAGCATTATTAAGACGTTTTTATATAACGTAGCATCACAACAACATAACAGTTCCGTATTAGCTTTTCCTGTAAAAATCATCATTTATAAATTCATAAACCACGAAAATTCCGGAACGTATTGCATCAGGAACTGGCCAAGAACTGTTCGTTCAGAAGAAACTCAGCACTAGTTTGTTTCCTAAATCTGCATTTAACGTCTGCACCCACGGTAAGAACAAGAGTATCATTGCTGATCTACTGGTGATCTATGAAGGAATAACAAAGTGGAGTTGAATAACAAAACATTCCTTAATTGCTTTCTTGTTTACAGGTTCTCATATTCTTTCATTTTTATGTACTTTCAGGAAGTGGTTGATATGAAAATTACTAGTCAACAAATAAAAACTGTAAAAATGATCTTTACATAACACAGTAAATAGTACAGTCCAAACAACAGCTCAACAAAACACTAATAGGTTTAACCCGCAGTGTAATTTTCCCTTGTTTTACTCTTCGTCTTTTTCTTCTTTTCTATGATTCGCTTGATTTCTTTTGCTCGGGGATTATCAAGTATTCTTTCAGTATCGAAAACTTCACCCAAGGGATCGGGCATTTTCACAGCCGCTTGTTCCGCTAACTTTATTCCATGGGCCTAAAATAAAAAATAAAAATAAAAAAAAAACCATAAAAACATGCCGTGTACAATTATTTATTGTGAGAACATTTCTTAGAAATTTTGAGAATTACATCTCAGGAGTAATCAGTAGATCAAATAAATTACTTTTTCAGCCAGCTTCTTCATGACATATTTATGAGAATGCCTTTTCTTAATTTCACTCCGGACCTTATTCGGACTAACGTAATTAGGGTTATCATATAAAACGGAGCCTTCAAATGACCCATCGAAAATGCGAATAATTTCCAATACCATGCGTGGTCCTACAATAATCATTATTGATATATTTTCCCAATTCATAGCAAATAAAAACAATTTATTACATCAACAGAAGTATTAGCCTTATTAGCTTCTGATTTCTTTCACGTGCAAAAAAATTAGAACAAATGTCAACACTAAAATACTTTTAACTTGGCAACAAACCGATCTCCTGAAGTTCAAGTGTTTCATCAACAATTTGAAAGTTTCGAAACCATATTTTACCATCTGCAGTTATTGAAAATGTGAAAACATGATCAATAAATGGTTTGCTTCTGGGATGATGATATGGCGTACTGAATGTCTGCAAACAACAGTGCACAATACAACTTAACATATGATACATGTTGTTTGGAGCTGATATTAAATGAAATATATTAATTGGAGTCAGAGTGAAAATTTGGAAGAGTGACCTGCATTAGAAGTTGCTTGATAAGTGAGAAGTGTGGCTGGCTATCAAAAGTAGAGTCAAACGAAAGCACCGGTCGCGATCCCTTCAAACAGTTACCAGACATCCGCATTTCATCCATCGTGTGCACATTATGCACCAGAAATTTTACAGATGGACCGTGTGTTGTATTTGATATCCATAAGTATAGATCCTCAAATAAAATTGTTCATAGCGATCCATGAATCATTATGCATTCCTTTAGTCATTCCCAGATAACCATAACTGATATCAACTGAATAGTCTGAGACTACTAGCAAAATCAGTAATGAATTTTTACTGGCGTTTTTTAATGTCTTATTATAACATTGCGCAATAAGTGTTTTAATTCCAAATACAATGATCTGACTTATTGAGTAGCTGTAAGATCACTTGGAGATCCCATTAATACGAAGTACAGTGAGTCATTTAGATTATCTGTTCTACAGTGAAAGTAATTATATATACCGTAATTTTCTATGCTTACCGTATGCTTTCTGTTTTCGAAATACAGACATTTGGTACAGTTTGCTATCTCAGCAATCTCATTAATTAATACCAAACTATTCCTCTTGTCCATTTTGTTATCCGATTTGCTATGAGGCATTAAATTTAAGAAATCCTTCATTAGATGACGCATACGATAGGATGCACCACGAGAACAAAAAATCAGAACACGCTCACGATTTGTCCATTTTGATTTGACCTGTAAAAACAATGTATATACCATGTTTTGATAGCAATTTTGAAAAATTTACATAGGATAAAATAAAGAAAGGACATAAACCTGTTCTGAAGCATCTTTTTTTTTGGGTGAAATTGGAAATGATTCTTCCTTAGATGTATTTGAGCTCTCTGATGTTCTTGAAGTTAGTCTACGCTTCTTCGACAATAATTTATCGACACCTTCAAGTTGACGAAAACGTCGTGACATCTAAAAATTATGTAACGTTTAATATGTACATTTATAAATATCAGATATTTAAACACGAGCGCTCTGTAGACACACACACGTTACCATAATGTTTTAACTAAATACATACCTAATGTGATTGAAAATATGCAACTTTTAATAGCTGCACTCAGTTTCAAAAGTAAAGCATATATGTATACAGGCATAGGTGACCTGACTATGTTGTTATTAAAAAAAAAAATCTAATATCAAAAAAAAATCCAAACAAAACACATGGCAAAAAAATAACGAAAATTATCCAAACAGCCCATAATTATTAAATCAAATAAAAGCCAGTAAAACAAAGACGGAACTAAACATTAAAATAACTCTAAACAAGTTATTGAGAACAGAATGCAAATAAAATAGTAAAAGCAAACAAAAGATATCATTTCGGAACAACATGTATCGGCTAGCCGTAGAGTTACCTTCCACAAAAATTATAGAAGCATTCAAATTAAAAGAGAAATATGAACTAAACAGAATCAAGAAAATAATAAAAAGTATTAAACAATGATGAAAAATTTTAATGTTCAAATTTAGGAAATAGATTTTCAAAATAGTGAAGAAATAAAAAGAACGAAAGTTAGTCTGCTTTCATATAGATAGGTCCAAATACATTTTGTTAGTTGAAAGGACGCAACACGAAGAGTTTGTACAAAAACTTCAATCAGAAAATTTTAAAAATTTAACTTTTATGAATATAATTTGCAATTCAGTCTGAACAACTGGACGTCTATTTATTTTACTTCTCTGTTAACTGTCTCTATCTCTCTTTTTTATTCGAAGATGAGTGAAAAAGAAAAATATGCAGTATGGAAAAATCATGCTTATTCACAAACATTTCAGCAATTAAGGTTATTAGAGAAATCTTTTTCATACAAAACAAAGGAACTGTGTTTGTCAGTCAGTTGGATTTATTTAGGGAAACCAAAAAAAAAAAATCTCAAATCAAGACAACCAGGTCATTCGAGAAAGTGTCAGTAATCCGAAGAGTCATACAGAAATACGTCACAATCATACCCAAACTTGTAAGAGGTAATAACAAATGAAGAAGAGAGGAGAGTACGAGCACGGAACTTAAGGGAAATCGGATGACCCCACTCTTCCCTTCCACTACTGTCCGTGTGACCCGAGAAAACGGAGTGGTCGAAACACTTCGTGGATGGCCGTGACACCTTTTACCACAGGTGCTTATGAAGCATTGTTCTGAATCGTCGACGGTGACAGTCATAAAGTTTGTGGTGAGTGAGGGTTGTTAATGGTGATAAGGGAGTGATTAGTGATAAGATGCTGATAAGGAAGTGATTAGTGGTCAAATGTTGATAAGGTAGTGATTCAGAGGGCATGATCTTGCTTAGTGATAAATGCTAGGGACAAAACCATCATTTTAAATTGCAATATATTGAGAAAGCATGCGAGGAGTGAGTGACTCGTTGAACGAAAATAAAATTAAGAAAGAGGAGAGAGTGAAAGAGGCAACTCTTCACAGTGCTATTTGGTTTAAGAATTGATTATGTAAATTTTAAATCTGTCTCGAAATTTTCCTAGTAGTAAAGTGCGACTTTTACATTAAAGAGATAATTTTATCCGGTGTTTTTCTTTTTTGACCTTTGTTACATTCATATCTTTCATTAAGTATTTTATTTCTGGTTAAATAAATGTCATGATATAATCAAATTTTTTTGTTCACTTTAAAAAGAAGGATGTGCGTTTATTCGTAATATTAGAATATATAGAAAATGAGTGGGAAAGATACTATGATCGATTACTACGAAATTCTTGGAGTAGAAAAGAATGCCACAGAACAACAAATCAAGAATAACTATCGAAAATTGGCGCTCAAATTTCATCCAGATCGTAATCCCGGTGACCAAAAAGGTTATTTTTTTCTTTTGACATATAGTTCCTTCGCAGCAAAGAATTTCAATAATTTTAGAGAGATTCCGGTGATCCAGAGATATAATGGGAGTAATATAATATATTGTCAATATTTGGAGGATTCATTTCTCTATATTTTCATTACTTGATGTGAAATGAATTGAGGCAAGGTACGATGATTATTCATATACGATATGAATAACATAACGATTGTTACTAAAAAACTAATTTAATATGGGTCTTGATCATGAGACTTTAAAGAATATTTTACAAAAAAGTTTTCAGCTGCTGAACAATTTAAAAAAATATCCATAGCATATGCAGTATTATCAGATCCAAACAAAAGGCGACAATATGATTTAAGTGGTCCTTCAGGCGCTCTTGTCGATTTCGAAGGGATAGATATTAGTGAAATGGGTGGCATTGGTATGGTTTATGCGATGTTCATTCTCTTTTAGCTTTTTTTGTTTATCATTTTTGTATTTTCTGAAATTTGACTTATCCTTTTTGGCTTCCATCTTCAATGTAACATTTTTCTGGGAATCAGATTTGGTAGGTACTAAGGTAGAAATTTCTAAGTTGGTGAATCAAATCGATTAATGTTCGTAACTTTAAAGATCTATGATATATGAATTTTATTGAATTGCGGATTTTATTACTTCAATACTTGTTCTTGACTTTGCTATCTATAGGATTTCTTCAAGAAATTTCAATTTTACATCAAATACTTTGAAATACTACAGGGCGAGTTTTTGGCGCATTGTTTTCAAAATTAGGAGTGCCAATCCCGACTCAGATTGGGCCGAAAGTCCTATCCCAAGCTCGCAGTTTGTGTGAAGGAACGCCAACTGATGCGAAGTACACTGTTTTAAAGGAAGGTACACCGTATGACGGTTCAGTTAGTAAGCAAGTAAGTAAATTTGACATTTTTTTTTAAATATTCCTTTTATTATCAAATTTGCATCATAGGGAGTACTACTGCTAGCAAACTTTCAGCTTATGTAATGGTGGCTGTTTTAGAAAAACATTTATGTTGTAATTGCAGTTCTCTGCGAGTTTAAACTGAATGATGTGAACTTCAGTAAGTTTTCAGGAAGCTGACTTTTTCAAGATAACGATGCAACCGCAGTGGGAGAAAAATGGATTAATGGTTATCTGTCGGTCAGCGCAAATGAGCAAATTCAAATTAGTTCTTTTTGACAAAGAAGGTGGTGTTCGAATAATTCAGGTAGTGATCTTTCGAATTTCAATTCACATTTTCGTAACCAAGCGATCTAAAAGTATCCCCAGGATGCGAGATCTTGTTCTATTGTTATACACTCATACGGCAAGCCCATAATTTGAACGAAATATTATATTATCGCTTGATGGTTTTCAGGAAAGCAACAAACGGAAAGGCTGCACAGTGGCTGAAATCTTCTTTGTACCATTCAATAGAGCTAATTTAAGTGAATTTATTCCGATGAAATTTTACATGGAAGATAAGGAAACACCACTGCCATTTCATTTGCTTGATACATTGGAAGTAGTCGGAGCTCATACACTTGAACAACGTGATCATTTCTTGTGCGTATACGGCGATAATTGGATTAAAGATGTCCGCTATCAGCTGAAATTTGTACCACTTAATGATTCACCGATCTCAATGGAATGCGTAAGTCATGAATTACTTGGTTCCGTTGTTGCAAATGATGATATTTTTACCGACATATGATCATTGGTTAGCACCTTTACTTCAAATACAAGGTTTTTATAGGTGCGTGACTTGACAACTACAGAAGAAGCGTTGATTAAAAAGAAGAGTGAAATGTCCAAATTCCAAGTAGAGTACACTGAAGCTATTAAGAAGTACAAAGAAGTGGTCGATAGACTTAAGAACGAAACCGAAGAAATCAATTCTCTTCTGAAGGTGACCAATTGCACATTATTCATAGCGACAAATTGAAATAGGCCAAACGGGTCCTCTCCTTTTCTTTATTTCATATCCTTTGAAAGTATATTTTATCAGTTGTTTTTTCGGGACAGAATTTATTGATTCATCTTGATCTTTTCGTACCAAAGACAGATCTTTTCAAGTTTCTTTCCCCACGGTAGATAGAAAGTGAACTGTTTTGCGACGTTTTAAACCCAACTCACGTACTTTAATCGACGAATAGCTGAACTCTTAGGATCTTCTCCTGCCTCAGGATTTGATGAGTCTACATCGAGGTGCCAGACGCGTCTCACGTAACTTTTGTTCTAATTTCTAGCCCTGCTTGTTCTGCTTCTGCTGTTATTTTTGTTTTGCTTCTTTTTCTCTTTTAGTTTCATACGTCGAAATATTGCAGAGCTATTTTCCTCTGGTAAATATGCTCTCTTAATCTTGACATGTATTATTTCTCTACCAAATTTTCCATCTTATTTTTAGGTTTTTCTGAACTTCCGATTTACATTTTCTAATTTACCTTGTCTTTTAACTACCCATAAATGTTAAATCTTTCAGTGGTGTTGAAATTTTTAAATTCAAATAACTGTTGAACATATGGCTTCCGATACTACAGTAGAGCTATAGTCTTACCATAGTATGGGCAGCCATATACTTAGCAGTTTGAACATGCCATCATGACGTCTTTTTGTGAGAATTTCAATAAAATTTTCTAAATTTTTAAACTAAATAAGTCCAGGAGGATAAAATAGCAGAAACCATTGCTTTCGTGGCACTTTGCTTTTTGATTACAATAAACGCTTCTATTCATTTCATAACTGTTCGGAACTGTCAGATGTAAGATGAAAATCAAATGCAACTTGCTAGGCTCAGTAAAAATTTTTAATTTTGAGATGTCATTGTTAGAAGTTCGACAGTCAGTCTTATGAGTTTGTTCACTACTAATCCATTGATTATTGTTATATACTGGGTTTTACTTTTCATTTTGCTGCAAATTTCCCATTATAGTGAAAGAATTCATTAGTACTTGTACTCATATGAGACCGCAAATCAAAACGTCTTGAAAGATCATCAGCATTAACTTTTCTGTTTCAGAAACGAGATTTTGTATACGATGCACTTGAAAAGGAAAGCATGGCACGATTTACTGCTTCAAAACATCTATCTCCAACGCATTCGAATAAAGGGTTATTTTCCTCGTGGTTCTAAATTATATATATTTATATGTATACGGTGTTTTAAATATATATATATATATATAGGGGTTGGGTTGTGTTCAATATTTTCATTCGGTGTGTGATGTGTCATATATAAACTCCTCAGTATTGCACGGTTTTTTGAACGGGGAATATATGACTCTAACGACTACAACCTTGACCTTTCATTTTCCATCGACCGTATTAATCGAAATGCTATTACGATTTCCCTAAGCACTGCGTTTTTTGGGAACAAAGAAAGAGCTCCATATTTGCACTTGTTTTCTTTGTGAATAGCGATACCATTTCTTGTTTTAAATTTTGACAATGAAATGAAGTCTTAAAATCCGGAGCTGAAGTTTGGTAATATGTATTTTTATGTACACTTTAATCTACTTTAGCCTTTTGGATTTTAAAACAAATGTTAGACGAGTATCTTATATAACATACCATTCACGTGACGGTGACTCTATTGTGATATTAATGTCAGACATTGTTTTTATCCATTTCTCAAGAACCTAATACAGAAATTGACTTGTGCAATTAAAAGTGGTGAATTAGCTAAAAATAACATATTTAATTGTAAACGTATAAATTCCAATTGAATTGTAGTTCCTGGCATGTACGTTTTTTAGCAGTGAATTAAACTTGTACATTGTACTAAAAATTATTTTTGACTGTCACCAAGATGTCTACTAGGAGTATTTGAATGTTTCTTACTTTTTCTATTATATTTATTAACATATCACGATGAGCAATCTTCTCACGTCCTGATTATGCTTTAACTGCTTTGTTATGTCATTATTTGTATTATATGTTGAAATATATTTTAGTTCTGATTCATATCATGCTTTCGCCCTCACCGTAATTTATATATCATAAGGTGACCGTCTGATGCGCGATTTTATATTGAAATCTGTTATATCAATTCTACCACAACAAATCTGAGTGATATTTTTCGTCGGACCAGATTGTAAGATTACCGCCATTGTTGATTCTCTCGAAATTTCTTTTATCTGCGCCACACAAAGGTCATCACCCCGATGCAAACGGCTCACTCCACTCACTCGACCAGCTCCTTTCGAATGCCAGCGACAACACCAAGGGATGTATGTTATTGAGTGTCCCGTGTGTCATGCATGCATCCGTTGCACCACTGAGTCATCATCGTCGACTCGCACTGTCTCCTTCACCATTCATTGCTATATTTATCGATTAGTCTAATCAATATATTGTGTGTGTGCGTGCGTGCGTGCGTGCGGGTGAGTGGGAGTGGATGGTTACGATGGCAAGGAAGAAAGCTGAAGTTGCTGTGATATCCAATGAAGTTGTGTGACGTGGCACAAAAGGTGCTGTTGTGGGGTGGCTTATGGGAGTATAGCATCGATTTGGATACGATTGTACTTCCTATTGCAGTTAACGAGAACTTCTTTATTCCGTAATACATTTCTAACGTTTGACGTGATATAAAGCGTTAATATTTTTTGACAAGTTTTTGTGAGGATGTCCGTTTATATTTTACATCCGCAAACTGTGGCTACACCTAGCTACTCGTCGACAATTCTTAAGACACGGAATGTATCTGCACCTATCTTACCGCGTTATTGTACAGCACGGCCACTTACTGTGGTAGGACGACAGTCACTGCGTACAGTTATTCCGGTGCAAGATGTGCAAAGATCGGCTAAAACTAGTGTGCTTCAGCAACCTATTGAAGAGCTACTTGGTCTGGAAGCTTCAGGGGAACATACAGTTCGAAAACGTGAGCGTTTGAATCATTTGACTGCGGAGGAGAAACAGAATCGACGTAAGTTAAAGAATCGCGTAGCTGCACAGACAGCACGTGATCGCAAGAAATATCGTGCAAGCAAACTTGAAGAAGCCGTTCGAATGCTTATCCTAGAAAACAGCAAATTGCGTGAGGAAAATAAGTGCTTAAAGAAAACATGTGAAGAGCTAAAGAGTCAAAATGTCGAGCTGGAGAACTTGTTGAATAACAACCGGGAACGTGACGAATGTTCTGAGACAGAAGTAACTAGTAGTAGTAACACGGCATCATCGTCCCTTGGATCTGCCGAATCCATTCGCGGTCCCCAGCAGAGGGAACAGGCGGTGATGCGTTCATTGCCGATTTTAATGCTTTTCTGTCTAGTGATGAAATGCAGGAAATCATCGGGGAAATCTGCGCAGCTGATGGAGCAGATTCGACGTTGCAAGATGTTGGCGGAACGACACTTGAATTCGAGCGATTCTGTTCAAAGATACTTAGTGAAATTGATGACACAACTGCAGCGTCGGATGCCGCTAAAACGAAATGCCCGGAGAAGTGCAACACGCATCGAGTGGATTGCACAACACCAGATATCATTATAGCACCGGAATATTTGAAACCGGACCCAGAGCCCCAGACGCCGATTTCTCCTTGTACCGATACAGCCATAAATAACGCAGTGGAATATGAAGAGTCAGCTTCTTGCGTTAATTTTAATATGGAAAGTGATCATGAATCTAACTGTGAACAATTGTCCGGTTATTCTTTTTGTGCATCGAAATCGTCCGATACAACAGAACATTTCACTCCTTCCTCTCCCTCATTTATCTTGTTTGATGATATAAAAGAGGGAAACAATGATACCCCCTCACTTCTTATTAGTGATAATGATCCAATGTTTTGTGTCCCACATAAATGGGATACCGACGACGACTACATGTAAATTCAGCACATGCACTCATTGTTATTACTGTAAGTTTGCAGTTTATTGTAATTTCTTTATAACATTTCATTGTTTTTTTTTTTCTTACAGCATATTTTTAAAATATATTTTGTCTTATCGATGGTAATTCCAACGATGTAAGTATCTTTTGATCTTATTCTTTTACAATATTCATTTCCAAACTAGCATACATGTTCTTTTCAGATTTTATGGTATTCATTGGTTCCGTTTATTTGGTCATCAATTGTGATAGTTTATTCACCAGAATGAACAAAATATCTCGTGATTATTTATTTCATTTCTTTCTGTTCTAGTATGACGGACTTCATATTTTATATGTTATTCGTATTTGTCTTTATGTCCTTTTTGCTTTTTGAGTTTTTTCTTTATCCACATATAAGTTCTAGTATGCACGATCCATATCATCTATTTTTTTAAAACTAGGACGCATGCGGGTGAATTGATGATTCGATGAAAACGGGCCTCACCCGTTTCTCGTACTTTATAAATTGAATCCTATTTTTCGACGTGAATGACATAAGATCTAAGTGATCGTGCAGAAAATATACATTCATATTTATAATATTTATCTGAAAGATTGTTTAGCACATGTGAACAAAAGTTATTACTGGAAGCAATTTTATAAAAACCGTCCGGTGAAACAAATAAATTAATTCTTGATATTGTTATCGTCTTCACTATGCTCACTGTCGGACATTTGCTCATCTTCCAGTTCGTGCAATGGAAATCTTAAAACAGCAGCCACGCCACCCAGTGCGCTAAGTTGCTCACCCGACACATGCATTGACGAGAATATCAACACGTTCGACCCCTACAAAATTGTTATAGCGTAAGAGAAATTGATCGGATACCCTTAACTGATCTAATGAAACACAGAACGCTATTGGCACCGACAGTGTTTTAATTAGAGATAGAAAGTTGGTTGGTTTAGAGTGTTATTGGTCTCCTTTTCAGAGCTTTGAGAACATAGTGTATTCAGTTTGATAAATTGAGAAGAGTTAGCTGGAGAAATGAACTTAAGGCTTTTGATTTCAAAAAGACTGGAAGTCCCACGAATTGTTTCAACTTGCCTGTTCTTTTACAGACTCTGCCAGTTCAACATACTTCCTCCTTAGCTGGATATCATTTGATCTAAACAACGAGTCGGATAGCAACAAGGTGTCGATAGCAAGCTGTTGGTTAGCCATCAACACGTGCTTATAACCATAAAAGGCACGCGATGGATCAGTTGCCATTAGCTGATAAAACATGTCAAGTGTCTTAACTTCAACTTGAGCCTGTAATAAGTAATGATTTGCAAATAACATCCAATCAATATTTTCATCGATTAGTTAAATCTGTTAGCTTAGATTCGTAATCCTCATAAGTTCCACACATGTGTGCATTGTCAGTCTCTAAGTTTTCCAAGAAACAAAAACCCTAAGAAGTCGGGAAAAAGTGTTAAAAAGAAGTCGACCACTTTACTGTCATAACACTTACTTTGGTATCGGAGAGAGCGGTTGCCACACTAGGATTTGACAGCACCTCTTTAAGTGCATGTTTAAAGCCACTGCTGGCATGGACAAGTAAAAATTTGCTACGACTTTCTAAAATCAACTTGTTCCCATGTTTGTCGGCATACTGCATCAAATAATTAAGAAATTGTTCGTTGAGAAAGCCACGGCTAGCTATCAATACACATTTAACTATCTAAAATTTTTTTTTAACTATCTTTTAACTATCTAAAATATAAGATGGAACTAATTCGCTGGAATGAATGAATGAAATGTTTCGAAAATTTTCGAGAGAAGTGACCAACCTTCATGTCCACATGCCTAACAAATGCCGTTGCAATAGCTTCATAAAAACGTTGTATACCCTTGTCGTGATGACTTGAAAGACCCTTCCTTTTCCTCGGAATCTAAAAGCATTCTGCAAACTTATTGGATATGCTAATTAAATTATTTCAAATTGCTATTCACATATATATTCACTCAATCTTTATTTTTAATTGCAATGCAAAATGATGTTACCAACCTGCATGTCAATTTTTGCCTTGACGATGGTCATCTGCGCCGTCACGAGGCATAAATTCGCCAAACCCTCATGCATTACAACAGCAGCTACATCAGCAGTTCGGGATGGCTAAATCCATAAATTAAGAAAAAGTGAAGTGGAAATCTATATAAATGACAATATAAAAACTATAACGGGGATTTCATATATTTTGTATGAATGAAACCAAGAAGAAAAGATATGTAAGATGGAAAAGAATGGTAACTCAAAAATGTGTACAGCTTTGGAGATCTAACTAGTACTGGTATCTGAAACATAAGTATGTTGTATAATAGCTTACACTGATAGTTTCTTACTGCACGAAATACTAAGTTGTATGATCAAGATTAATGGAAGAGCTTAGAAAAGTTAGTTAAACATGGCCCAAATAACAGCATAATTCATAGTTTATATTAGAAATTTTTACAATAACAGTTTTATAGACATTTACAAAGTTAAAGCGTACATCAAGTGCCAAGTCCAAGCGATCCAAATCTATCGAATCCCATTGTGGTTTCCACAATTTGAATTTCTTCCCAACATCGATATCCAATGTATGGTACTGTCCCATTTTCACATGTTGGTTCTCAGCAACATTTCTACCTTTCAGGTGCAAGATGCAAGCTATGGGATCAAAATCAACGGTTTCAATGGAAATCGATAAAACAGTATGCACCCGCTGGCTGAAAAAAATAAATCAATATTTTGGCTTTTGTAAATTTGGGTGAAATCTAAGTTATTATGCAGACAATAGAATAAATAATAAGGTCAATTTTTATGGAAATTACCGATGAACTAAATGAAGAAAAACGTTAAAAAAAAATTTAGAAAACTATAAAACTAGGTTTATTAATTCACCACTGATATAAATATTGGAAAAAAATCCAATCAGTAAGTCTTTTTTGAATTGAATACAAAGAATTAAAAGATTACCTGTATGTACTACCAGTGTTTGATTCCGTTGTAACCTTTCGAACTGTTGTACATCGGACTCTATCACCAACACGTACTAAATTATAAACATGCCACATATCCTCTGCTTCATCACATGATATTGTCACCTCTCTGCAAAAATGACTGTCAGATTTATTCAAGAACTATCTGGGAATTATTAAAACAAAAAACAATAAAATACGAATGGAAATCAGACAGACTGTATGGTACTTACCTTCGAAGAGTATTAAAAGAGAAGAGATATCGGGAAAACCACAGGATTTGAAGAAAATAAATCTCGATGAAGAGTAACTCATTCTAACTTTGTAAACAGAAATAACAACATTATCAAATAGATATTACATGTTCAGAAATAGTGCTGCAGATTGTTCAATAACCTAATTTAGATTTATATTCGTATCAAGTATATCAACAGTGATGATAAAAAGATCTTAGTGTTGTAGATCAAGTGAATGCATATATGCATCTAACCAGACAAGTAATCGAGTTATCAATAACACAAACCCGGCACCATCTTTGTCGATATTTCGTTTGAATTGTTTCATTTGTCCGCGTCAATTCCTGATTAATCTTCATCCACAATTCTAAAAACATTTTGTCAATTAATTTAGCGAAAATATTTCTAGTTTTACCTCTAATTAAACCACTTTTTCATTCGCCTGTCTAAAAACATCATTTTGATTTTGAAGAAATTCCAGTTTAAATTTTCAAGATTGTATAATTTCAAAGTAACTTTCATATAGCGTGTCACGATAATACATGAAAAACTGTATGACAGGAAAAATAAAGTATTTCAGAAATGCTACCACAGTCTCCCGTCTATTCCCTTTTCACATTTTCTCTTACGTGCTGTAGACAAAAACGAAAATCTAAAATTCCGATATGATCGTTGGAATTCCTGATTAGTTGATCAATCGTATCAGAGATGATTTTAACTGATAACATTAATTATATCAAGCACTTGATTTTTTTCTAAAAAATAAGCTAAACAGATCTGATCCATCCGTCCCAGACAACTATCTTGCATTTAATTGAGTCGATCTAATCATTCACCCAAAAGAAATACTTTCATTAAAATCCAACTTAGACAGAACCAAAAAAGAAATGAACTCAACTCTCAAACTTCTCTAAGCTTTTTGTCCTGATAAAGAATGAAGAAGAAAAGGGTGAAAGTTCAGAAACTCAGTGTTTGTCACTTCGATGTCGCCCACTCCGCAAAATGTCACCACACCAGCCAATTCACGGTGAGATTTCATTCTGCAACTGCTCACTGCCATTTCCATTTCATAACGGCCACATTATCCGAGAGTTTCCGTCCGTTAATTTCTCGCTTTCCGTTTCCGTCGCTGACATTACGTACACCTACCTATTCACTAGCTCATACGTATATCCACTTTCGAGTTAGAGGAGCTATTCACACCTGTCTCATCTCTACCTGTCCATTATCTACAGACATGACGTACACCTACCTATTCACTAGCTCATACGTATATCCACTTTCGAGTTAGGGGAGCTATTCACACCTGTCTCATCTCTACCTGTCCATTATCTACAGACATGACGTACACCTACCTATTCACTAGCTCATACGTATATCCACTTTCGAGTTAGAGGAGCTATTCACACCTGTCTCATCTCTACCTGTCCATTATCTACAGACATGACGTACACCTACCTACTCACTAGCTCATACGTATATCCACTTTCGAGTTAGAGGAGCTATTCACACCTGTCTCATCTCTACCTGTCCATTATCTACAGACATGACGTACACCTACCTATTCACTAGCTCATGCGTATACATACACGCACGCACATACACGTACATACATATGTGTAAATACACATACACAGCAGAGCGTCATGTGAGATGTCGCATAAACATGGGACACTTAGATAAGTGACCTGTAACCTCTGGAGCAGTCATTCATTTACTGACATATCGCTTATCTGTTTTCCATCGTAATCGATTGTCTAAGTGTTGTTCTAACTATCTTAGAACGAGTAGCAGAAATATTTAATTTTATTTTAAATCCAAAGAGTTAAATATCAAAAACAAACAAAAAAAAAAAAAAGTTTCATTTGAAGAGAAATGTTGAATTAAGTTGAAGGAATGAATTAAGTTGACCTAATTTTAATAATGAAACCTAACTAATTTAATATATTCCTGGAAACATTGTATTATCCATCCTGCATACATATATCTAATTAATGGCTAAAAGGAGTGACTCTTTGTTAGTATGAAAAAAGAAATTTTGTTTTCATTTTGTTTCCAGAAGTTAAGAAGTGTTAAGTAATGTTGACCAGAGGATCTGAACTGTAAGATTTTCAGGATGCTTTCTGAGAGGAACATCTAAAGATAGTATAACACTGTCGTTCAAAAATTTAGACGGAAAAAATTCAATTTAATAATGACCAATCAAATTAATTAGCTGTTGTGATATTTAACTAATTATATATATATGTGTATTGGTATATATATTATATATTTCAAATATTTTCTGAACTTTACCAACTTTTTCAACCATATGTTTATTATTGTTGATAATAAAATTTAATTTAATTAATCGAAATCAATTTGCAAATTGAATAAAATCTTTTCTACAAAAAATTCTAAGATAAAAAGGTGCAGTTGAAATGGTATAACTATGGAGAGCGCATAAATTAACGAATTTATCTGTTTTTTTTTTTTTTTTTTTCGATTTGGAAATTATGGCTAATTATGCATTTTTTGTTTATTGATATATGTATGTATTTTACTGGAGAGACCTTTTTACTCATTCATAATCTGAACAAATTCCAATTTTTATACATCGTTTTCCTATTTCTTTATTCTTCTGCAATTCTATTTTTCGTATTTTTGCTTGCAGAAGAAGAAACTTTCAGGAATGAATCTGTTTAACTTGAAAGTTGTAGAATTTGGCACAGATTTAGAAAAAATCATTGTCCTCCATCTAATGAATGAGTCGTGAAGTTATGAGAGTTTAATTTTTATTTTTATTTTTGATTAGTTTCTTATTAGTAATACTGATATTGTTATTACTGTTATTATTACTCCTATTACTCATGTTATCATTATTATTATCGTTTATAGTTATTATAACATTTAGTGTTTCTTTGGTATGTTTGAATACTTTGAGCAGCAACAGAAATCATCACTAGGATCGCTTACTTCGGACAAAATTTGACTCGAATTTGTTTCTTGAATTTGCAATTAATATTATTCCATTCTCTCATCATTTTAATCTGATAGAGCGGTTCCTCAATATACTTATACATATTTTAAATTTTAACTGAAATCTATTCTTACGGGAAGATACAACATTTTGTTTGTCTTAGATAAACTATTAATTGCACTGCGAGTTGTTTCATTGCAGTTTTTAAAAGTTTGAAATTGCTCAAATTCTCACGGGAGGAGAGAATGACGACATCACGAGGATTCATCAATATGCCACAAACAATATTTGACAAAGGTCAGTTGTTTACAGTTCATGTACATGTGATCTGGTGCTTATTTGTTAGCTTCAGAAACAGTTTTCAAACGTTATTTTAACTTTTTTTTTTTTAACGAAACGGAGAGTTTTTCTAATTCTGCTTTAAAATTTTCCGTTTTACTTCTTTTGCGTGTTGAAAAAAATTTGCTAAGACTTTCAGAAATGAATCTGTTTAGCTTGAAAGTCATAGAACTTGACATTAAAGAACAAATTAAAATTTTTATTTCCACCATGAAGTCTACCAAAGTTTAGCGTAATTAAGTACTAATATAGTTTCTCTATAACATATGGAAAATTTTTTAGGAAGTTCTCGAAAAAATTAGCGTCTTGATGAAATTCTTTCCTTGATATGCGTCTCAAACTTAAACAAAAAAAAAAAAAAAAAAATTAGATTTAAAAGTTAATAAGAGTTATAAATTCAAAATTTTACTCTTTCAAGTTGAAAGAATAAGCCAAGCATGAAAGGAGAGAAAACTAGGGTGAGAGCAATTAAATTAAGTGCTTATATTCTTTTAACTTTTTGTGTATTATTTCATTCCCTTTCCGTTAATATACACAGCAGAATTAACTCATTTATTGTTATTTCGGATGGCGAAGAATAGATATTTCTTAGCAACGAAGACTTCTTCCTGTTTTCGCAAAAATTACTTTATTCTATCAGAATCATTCTTTACCAGTTTGTATCATGTCTAAATTTTCACTGGATGAAATTTCAATTTTAGTTATAGTACTTTCTCTTTTTACATTCATAACATTTGAATCAAGTGAAGTATTCACTTAAGCAGGAGATTATCAGTTTCAATTTTTGTTGAATAAATTATTGATAATTCATTCTCATTACCATAAAGAACTTATAGTGATCGATTTTGATCAGTTCTAATCGAATTAAAATTTTCAGCTGATAATACAGACTTGGATATAAGCGATGAGATGGAAGAAGTTCGTGAACTGATGTACGAATTAATCAAAACAAATTTTTCATCGGGTGTTATGGTAGAACATTTAGCGAAAATATATAAGGAAAGGTTAATGAATTTCGACTTTCTTTTCTTTTCATTTAAAGAATCTTTTGCAATTTAACAATTAGCAAGCTCTTCGCTTTTTCATTAGCTTCCTTTTTCAATTATTAGGATGGTAAATAGATTTCCATAATATATAGCTGAGAGTTAGTATATTCCATTTTTACTTTTTTTAATCCTTGACTTCCATTGAAAATTTATTTTTAATCGTTTGCTATTTAATTTGCAGTGCATTTTTTCCACCTAAAGTTTGAGGTGCTTCGAAATAATGTTTTCAAAATATAAAATAATGTGGTGTTAACATTTATAGCTAATTTTTACCCCATTTATAGATTCCGCATAAAAGTTTAAGATTAAAAATGTTTTTGACAATATGAATTTTTGCAGCTATGAAACGCGTGGTTTAGGACCGTTGCTTCCAGATAACTGGCTTGACCATATACGAGTCGCAGAAGAATTTGAAGTCGTCAATCGTGGTCCAATTGCAATGGTTTATACACGTCAACGCGATGCACCACCATTTATTATCGAACCGCCTTGTAATTCGTTAAGTAAGTTTATAGTTTTTTTTTTTTTTTATAGGGATTTCATTTGCTGAAAATAAATTTTGACTAGTGTATTCGGCTATATTTATCTCTGCTAAAATCCTATGCTCCAACAAAAAATTTTGCTATAAAAAGGCTTCGTAAGAAATTAAATTTGCTTGCGTTTTTATTTAGTGAAACTTTCTAGAGACATTTTATTCTAAAGTTTTATCCAAAAATTTAAATTTTGTATTCATAAAATTTTTTTAAATATTTCTATTAATCAGTTCTATAGGAAATTCTCACTGTTATGATGTTTATTTTTTTTTCTTCCAGATATAACGAAAGGACTTGCATCGCCTAAAGCAAAGGAAGCAACTCGAATTAGGCTTACTGATCGAGAATTGGCTCAGCAGGTAATATCCTATATTAAACAAAATTTTTCCTTTCAGAAAAACTATTTTTTATAATTTTACATTAATTCAGAAGCTGTTTGATCAGCCTTTGTTATTTTATCACGCTTGATAAGCAGTCGGAGGAAGTTTTTAATAGTATGTCCTTGTTACTATCGTAACTCCGCAGTGTCGACAATAGCTTTATTCTTTTACGATATCGTATAGTATTTATAAAATAAAAGAGATGAACAAAGTGACCAATTTTTTTTTTTTTTTTTTTGGAAGTTTTGCTTTCACTGTTATTTCTGTTGATATACTACAGTTTGTTGAGAGTTGAAAAGAACAAAGCTTGCAATACCAAAAATTAAGGCAAGACAATGGTTTTCACTATCCGGATGATGTTTACTAACCATTTTAGGTAATTGCGATTAATTTATAGACCTCTACAATATGTGGACATTCTAAGTAGATTTGGTTTCTAATAGGGAAGTTAATTGAACAAAGAGCTTACTATAGAATATAATTTTGATTGCCCGATGACAAGAAATTAGTAATAAAATCGGGAGCAACTGTCAACGTGTTAAGCAATGTATATATTCTTTGCTAATACATTACAACATTCTAGACAATGTCAATAACTTAGTTACAATTGGAAAAAAATTTATTGACCGTTGTGATTTTAGCCTGTAGAAAAAGACAGTTCACTTCGTGGTTTTAATAATAATTATAACAGCCTATGAATCATTCAGTAATAATAATATTAATAATATTAGTAGTGACGTATGATTTCAAGTTTTTTGGATACATTTCAGATGAAATCGATATTATCATTCGAACCGATCATTTGTCCGTCAACAGTAAGCGTTATTGTGATGAAATGTGATGAGGACTCGGATGATATCTATGTACAGTTGGCCGGTACAAAAAATAATTTCGAACTGCTGCGATCAGCAATGAATTCTTACTACGAAGAGCAATCTTCTGGTGATTCGGTGATAGAACCTGAGATTGGTGGTGTTTACGCAGTTCGCGAATCGGATGGACATTGGTATCGGGCGTTGTTGAAAGTGAGTAAAAATCCGAAAACTGTTCATTCATCAGTACAATCAATTCGTTATAGTCGAAATTTATAGTTGGTAGGAAATTGTATTATATCCTAAAAAAAACTATAATTTTTTAGAAATTATATCCTAAAAACGTGTTCATTATTTTTTGTATTTAGTAATAAATCCTATGATGGTAAATTTTATACAAGACTTTATTTTAATGAATGAAAGTAGAAAGAAAAATAAATTCCATTATTATCATTGAATATAAACATTTATTTCTTCTTCTACGCTTTTCTTTAAAAGAAAAAAAAAACAAATAGGTTCCTGAATATTTCACATTATTGGATAGCGGTCGAATAGTACACGTGAATGGTGCAACGATTCGACGTCTTCGTGCGGAATATGCTCTCCCAAGAATATATCCCATTTATGCGTTCATTATTACTTTGGACAAAAAGTGTGATAATGGTCCATCGCTGTGTATTTTGCGAACTGCTTGCCATACTCAGCTTCCGTTGCCGGTATAACTTATTTCGAAATCTAAGTTGAAGCTTTAAATTTCAAAAAACTAGACGGAATTAGTGATTAAAGCTAGCTGTAGGATCAGTAAATAACATATTTATTAATTTTGGTTCGAACGTGCATCTTAATTAGCTTATAGTCTGCAAAATATTGGTGAGTTGTAAATTTAATAGTTTATTACAAAATAGCGCTTAAAACAATAAATTTTCTAATTCGTTTGTGCTTTAAGTTGCTGGAAATTCGATTTTCTTTCTGTCATATAGTTCTAATCACTTCTCAAAATGAGTAGTAAATTAGATTGAAAATCTAATTTTTTCTGGACATTTGACGCGTAAAAAATTTTGATCTTCTCTTCCTGCTTTCAGAAGTTATCAGTAAATGAGGTGATGTAAAAGAAAACAATGTATACAACATTTTGTGTTCTAACTTCCCTTGCGTTTAGCTTTTTAGCTACGATTCATATCCGCTTATATCGAAAATGGTTTAATAAAATACAATGTTCAAAGCTCGATTATGTGGATTAAGGACCGGAAAGAATACGAGCAGTAAGTTTCTTGAAGAAAATTTTAAAGGTTATTATGACAAAGCATAAACTTCATAATATTTTGAATGTAATTGCTTGCTTTTATCGTCATGCTTATTCAATTGAGTTCCCATATATTTTTTTTAAAATTTCCTAGGTAGGTTCTTCATTGATTCGAAAGAAAAATTACGAGATTGAATGGTATATAAACAACATCTTCGAGATTTTGGTTTTTCGTGCATGCCAAAATATGAAAATATTATATATAGTATTGAAAGAAGTTTTAAAATGAAGTTCAGAAAATTTATCCGTTTTTTAAGCACATATCAAGTAAATGGGATATTTGTTCTTTCTTTAATTTGTTTTGTCCGAATGTAAATAGAAGGATAATGCTATTGTATTTATGATAAAATGAAGGATTTGCAGTGATAGATAAGATTTTCTCTATTAAATATAGTCGCTTATTTAAGATAATATTTTTTGATTAGAATTACAGGAATGTGATAAGAGTAATACCGGCGTCGCCGCAATATCCAGTAGCCGTAGGAGGAGTGGAATTAGTTGCCATGGAGTTGAGCGAGATGCCGAAGAAACGCTTTGCTGCACATATTTTGACTGTATTTGATGCTGATAATATCAACATACGACAATGCTCATTTGTACGTTTCTCGCTATAGTATTTGTGTTTACATCACAGTCAGCTATTGTCTTCATATGTTGCTAAAAACATGTAATTCGAATGGAACTTTTTTGACTCAAATTTGCACAGTTAAATTAAAATGATTTTGTATTTTAGGATCCAATCCCGGACTACATAACCAGTGCAGTGAAACGAGATTCCTTAGCTCAACCATCACCTCCACCATTCAGCGAGTTAATACCAGGGCGTTTCTATGCTGCGAAATTGCGTCCAGATTCTAATTGGGAACGTATACAGTTGCTTGGTCCAAGCACTGTTGACGCTGATTGTTTTCGTGTCTATGCTGTTGATATTGGCTTATTCGGTATTGTCCGGAAGTCAAATATGCGTCATCTAAAAACTCCAAATGGACTACGTAAAATTTTGATGGCGAAATGTAAAGTTAGTTTGATTTTCTATTCGGGTAAGCGAGTTTTTGACTCATAAACTTAACCACTTTGAATTACGTTGCGTGTTTCATCTTAGCAAAGGTAAATCCTTAGTAAAAAAACATTTTGAGAACCGGAACAATATTTTTTACCTTATGACATATACGATTTGTTCAGTTTTCAGTTAATGGATCCTCTTACCGTTGTATTATAGTTAATAGTACATTGTCACTATTTAAAGTATTATCATATTTTGCTAATGCATATTATGTGCAATTCACATATGTATACTATTTTTTCATATGACAAGGTGCATTGTGAACATTTATCTTTGATTTACCTTTCAGATAGCAGGAATTAAGCCGAAAAGTGGCGGTGATGTATGGAGTCGTGAGAGTCAAGCAATGATATGCAATGTATTGACTAGTGCAGAACATATAGAAGTGGAACCAGTCAGCGACTGGGAGTTATTTGGAGATCCAGATTGTATTATGGTACCGTTTGCGACAGTAAAGATTTTCGCTGATGGTAAGAGTGTTGATCAGATGATCGTTGAACAAGGATACGCGCAATGCAGTGATGATAATCTTTCTGTATGTAATCAGTATTGCCAAAAATCGCCGATGGTGATCAGTTGATGAATGGTTGAACAGGATTGTGTTCAATGTTATTCAGCGGTAATACTTTCTGTGCAACGCACCAGCGCCCTATATTTAACGCACATTTTGATAATTGTCATTGGCCAGCCGCTTTTTGTAATTTATAAATTTTATATAGGAATTTTTGTCCCTAATTTTCACTAGTGAGGTTAGTTACAAAAATTTCAAAGATTCTAAAGAATTTAATTTTTGGCAATACTTGCAGAATTTTGCAAACATAGTTATTGTAGTACGGAATTCTGTTCTACACATATTCATCCAACATGAGACATGTTTAACATACAATTGTAGTTGCTGGCTTCAATATGTTGATTCATTTTTTTTTTTTTTTTCTCTTTTCTCTCTCTCTGTTTCTGAGATTTACAATGCTGTGCAAAAGTTCTCCTATACTATAAAAGTATTCGCATAGAAAAGGTTGTACGATGTCCTCTCAGTGAAATCGATAGGACCATTCGATAAAGAATGATCGTAATAAGATTATGTTTGAAGTCTTATTTCACATTTTATTGCGTTGTTTCTATTAATCTAGTTACTTCTCTGTCTTACTTACAGTTTTCTCTTCTTTACTAATTGCGATAACTATAAGGAATCATTAGAAGGGAATGAAATGAATATGAATTAAAATTTAGCGAGCTGGAGGAATTGCTTTCAAATCCATAACACAACATATTGCTTAAAGGAAATCCACTATTTTATTGCTGGGACTGTAACTTTCGAAACTGTTTTATTGTTTAAATTCAATATTTTATATTGTATAGGTAAGCAATTTTCAGCACTTAGAATGAAATTTTGATGGAAAAGATTCCGAGAATTACTACTACCATACTCTTTGATCTGTCAGAAATGTGAAATTATCGTATTACCATTCGATCTCATCATTCGAAAAATTTCAGTTTGCTTTTTTGGTTTGAATTTTCAGTTCTTTTTTAGATCCTAAATAAATAAATAAAACTTTTATGATAGTCTTTTTCAGTGGATGGAATGGTATGCTTTTTTTCATTTATTCTATACACTCATGGATATATGCATAGAACTGTGTCTGATTAATTTCATCAAATATTGCTTGATTTCTGAATAACTACTCAAGTTTTCCTTATTATTAGTTTCGAAATTTCAGATGTTATCGAGTTCTTTTCTTTGACTTTTTTTCTTATTATTTAGCAAAATTAATAGAAACATATTTATTTTTTGTTAATGAATTCACTTCTTGGTATTTGCAGATATGCCGGTCTTCGTCTAAATTTCAAAATTTTAAGTTAACTGAGTTTAATTTGATAATTTCTATGTGCTGGTAAATTTTACATCATATCATGCATTAGAGGACATTTAAGTGATATCGGATGGCTCTGCAAGTTAAGAAGAAGCGAAAACTTTGTTCATTGTTTCAGTTATTTAGAAATATTTCATTCATCTTAAATTTTACGAAATCTCATGCCGTGTGCCTACTATTCTTTTCACAAATAATTTTATTATTTTCAGTAATTGTTTGATTCTTTTTGAAGTCAAATTAAATATTAAATACTGTGTTTTGCTTTTATTTAGCTAATAATAATCCTGGTGGGAATGGGTAAGACTAAACAATAATAGACATAGTTAAGTATAATCATTAAATAATTGTAGTCAAGTGAGAGAAACTTTACATAACATAAGCATAAAGAGAATATAACAATAATGCCACTTGAATGAAATCACTTAGAAGAACTGTCGATGTTATGTTTCAAATTTCAATTTAAGATAGAGAGGCTTGAAATTCCTGACCTGACGTATTGTTGAATTATATCGCTTTAGATAATAATTTTCTAAAACAGGTAATGATTTCTTTTTTTTTTTTTTTTTTTTTTTGTCACATTTGTAATAATATAGTTAACAATTTTCTAAAATTTGATCACTATGTTTTTCCAACTTTTAGCTTTCGCTTCATTTTTGCTTTGTGTTTTTTTCATGACTCATAAGTTTATTCTTCGCAAATTGAAATCAATTTATGAGTTTCATTGCTTTTTGTAATCAGTGTAGTAGGTGCTTTTTATTTCTTTCTGTGCATAAATTGATACTTAAGAAAGTTTGCAACATATTCCTGAGATCGTTTTCATTCTTTTATTTTTAACTGCTCTTTTTCCATTCATTTATCGATATAATTAGACAAATAATGTCGAGAAAAGGAATGTTTTATTTGTATATTTTGTGGAAATAGTTACATTTGGGTATTGTTAAATCATTAAAAATCATTTTAAAAATGTGATAAATATGCAAGAATCAAATTGTTTGTTCAATTCTTCCAATTTTTCGTTTTGTATATAGCAACAATATATTATTTATTGTTCTTATTTTATTCGAGATCTATGACGTACTTCATTTTAACTCTACCCGAAACATTCTATTTTAATTCTAGAAAGCTCTATGACATTTCTTGGGTTTCAACTAACTGAATAAATTTGCTTTTCATTTATAAGATTATTAAAAATTCATAGAATATTATCCTGAATCATTCCTGTACTGAAGAACGTGAAGGAAATTAATGACCATTGACATTTGGTAGTGCTGATATTATACATTCTTTTAGTTTATTATTAAGTTTGATAATTTTAAAATTGATTAGCGCTAATATCAAAAATATATATGTATATATATTATATCAAAACTATTCATTTTTGTTTTAGGAAAACTATCTGGGAAAGGTTATAGTACTATAAATAAGCTGGAAATCAATGGTATATGATGTTCATGTGAATTAACAATAATTTCTTCATTAACGAATACATTTTTTCATAGTTTCAAACTCTTCAACAGTTTAACAGTAGGTAGTAGTGGTACTTCATTTTGCAGTTGAACGCAGTAATATTTCATTTTTCATAATTTTTATTCAGTACTTTTTAATTTTCCACAAATGAAATTCATGTGAGTGGTGTCTACCTGTACATTTCAATATTAATGATGGAATTAAGTATCAGCTGTCAATAAAATGCATCAGCGATATTTACAGGATCTATAAATCAATTCTTTTTCTTTGAAAAATTCTTTTTTTTTCTTTATTTAAAAAAAAAAACTTATATTTGCATTTAGCTTCCTTAATTGTGTTGCTTACATCTTTAAATGTTTACTTTGTAATCATTTCTTAAAAGATTCAATACGTTGCCATTCTGCTTCATATTGTTTCACTGATCAAAGATTATTGTTAGCTTTATTGAAGAAAGCATAAGTTGCAACGAAGGTAAGATTGATTTGTTACTAAGATAAGTTGCTTTAATCTTAGAACTAACTGAGCCCATTTCTGAATCATTAAAAAAAGTGAAAACATAAAGTACGCATTTTATTAAATCATTTTTGTTCCTCTCTATGCTATTAATTGAATTTTCCTGTTTTATTCATTTCCCAATTTAAATTTGGAAACTTTATGAAATAAAAACAATTCATTATTTTATTGTGATTGAGAAGTGACGATTTTTTTTTTTTTTTTTTTTAAATGAAATCATTCTAACCAAAAATATAGATTAAGTTCAAAAAAAAAATTCCAGAAAAGTTGATTCACTTAGTAACATTCCCTAGTCTAGATACTGCATAACTAATATTTAGTATGAAGGGAATGCTTATCAGTTCTATTTCCATTCATTCTGAAATAAAAATGACATCGTAAATTAATTATTTATAATTGTGCTATCAATTTATGTTAATAATTTGTTTGGGAAATATATTTGGAAGTAGTATGGTTTATCAATAATCACTCATTTCCGATAATCATTTGAAATGAAATGAAACATAAAAGCTATAATGTGATGATGATTAGAAGACAGTGAGTGGTTCATTATCACGTTGACATCATTTTAGGTGATAATTACAAGATAGTAAGTTTTTATAAAAAGTTAAGAAGCAAGAAGGAACAAGAGATCTGTGTGTTTATTTGGAAAAAGAATTTTTTAGTTTTGTTTAATAAAATTCCTAAGATAGTACTTCTGTCTGCGATTTCGAATTTTTTCACATGCTAAACTGTAATTTTAATTCATTTATTACATCAATCATAGTAAGTTATATGTATTGCTTTCAAATTTTGAAAATTTCAGAAGGTTGCATCGGTTTGTTTTTATTCAGATCTCATTATTTACTTGCTTTAAAGGAAGTTTAGTTGGAACATTTCCGCTTAAAGTGAATAAAAATTAAAGATGTAAATTATGAATAAAATTTTCTTTGCATATTGAATCTTCGCCGTCGTATTATAGCTTTTTTTTCGTTCCAATTTTGATTTCCATGGTTTTGAATTTGCAGTTTCGACAAGCTTTTTTTTTTTTCTGATCATTTTTTCTTTTCTATTATTAATTCTCGTATTTTTTCTTGTCAAGATTAAAACAAATGCGATTACGGGTTGATGTATGTCGTGCGATTGTGCTGACTTCTTTAGTATGGATGATGATTGATGTCATCATATTATTTTACTTTCTTGATACCGGTAATAGCAGAATAACCTCAAAGTAAGTTTTTATTTCTTTTTCTTTTACAGGTTCTTCCGGATAATTTTTCCATTTCTAATTCTTCAGGCATTACTTGGCAAATTTTGCTAATTTTCAGTTTTTACTAGAGTTTTTTAAGCTATTTGAAACGATCATTTCATTCATAAGCTCTTTTAAGTAATTAGAAAATATTGATTGTGCACTTCTAATATTTATGTTCACATTAAACAACTGTAGATATTGTTGGGCAGTCGGTCTAATCGCTTATTTTGATGAAGCTTTTTGTAAATTACCGAGCTCTTTATTTCTGCAGTTTTGAGAATTTCGTCAATTTAGTATCGAAATTAATATTCATACTATAGGCAGTCTGTAATTTGAAAAGTAACCTGTCGATGATCCAGTGATTTGTTTCAGAGTTGCAGTAAAGTTGAGGGGTGATCGTCGTTCAGAAGATGAATTTAGGGCTCAAGCAAATGATTTTGTTGATCAGGAAGCTATGGAAGAATTGGGAATATTGCTAAAAAGTTTGTTTTTCTTTTT